ACAATTCAACCCACCGCATGTTTAATATCTTGGAGGGAGTCTGGGCAGTGCAGCTAGATGCATTTGTCAAAAGTAATCAAAAGTGGCTGGGCGCGGTGGCTCACACTTGTAATCCCAGTACTTTGGGAGGCTGAGGCGGGTGGATCACTTGAGGTCAGGAGTTCAAGACCAGCCTGGCCAACATGGTGAAACCCCATCTCTACTAAAAATACAAAAAATTAGCCAGGCAGTGCCTGTAGTCCCAGCTACTCAGGAAGCTGAGGCAGGAGAATCACTTGAACCCAGGAGGCAGAGGTTGCAGTTAGCTGAAATCACGCTACTGCACTCCAGGCTGGGCAACAGAGTAAGCCTCCATCTCAAAAAAAAAAAAAGGGGGGGTCTACATAAATCTGATTTTTAAAAATAATAGTTCTCTTTGGAATTAAATCAGATACCAGTTTAGAAATGTCTTTCCCACTGTCTTTTCTACTATCTCTCCTGACCCCTAGTCCAACTTCACGGTAGTGTCTCTGTAACCTGATAAACCATAAACAGGGATTCTCTGCAGCCATTAAAAGCAAAAGATGTAGTGGGTATAGTTTAGTTGATAACTTAAATAGGTATTTTTAAAAGCTACAAGTCTCATACAGCATGGAAGTAATTTGTTGTGAGAATTGTAAGGAGCTAAATACTATTAAAGATTGCTTTATGAAGTTTGGGTTTGTTTGCATTTTTGTCTTCTATTGGAATTCTTTCTCCCAACACCCTTACTTCTCTCCATATACCTGCCTCTCTTCTCCACAAACAATACAATTTTGCTTTCTAGTGCTATGAGGACCTCAGGGAAAGGAATTCTATAAATGCAGAATATTTTTTCCCCTTATTTCAGATCTTTTGCATAATACAGAATAGCAGTGTTTTAATTTTAATAACCATACTTTTGGGAAGTTCGCTATAGAATTTAAAAATAACTATTTTAATGTAACAAATGTCAGGCTTTTTTAGAACTAAAGTTCAAGGACTGGGTTTTTCATTTTGTTTTCCTAAAAGTATTTTTTTTTAAGTGTAGAAAAATTAGTTTTCTGCTTTCTGTTTAGTTTATCTTCTACCTCATGCCCTCTGTAATCACCGTTATCATCTAACACCTAGCCCAGTGCCAGGAGCATATAATAAATATTTGTTTAATGAGTGAGGAGGAAGTATTATTTTTTCACATACTATGGTATCATTATTTGTTTGACCCAAAACAATTTTTAGATTTAAACATTAAGGAAACTAATATTATTAGTATGGTTTATAACTTAAATGATAAAGCCTTTTTCCTGTTCATTTATGTATCTTAAGGTAAGGGTAAGTATAGTAATGATAAATATATCAGGTATTTGTACATTCTTTGTCAGTTGAAAATAAGGTTGTTATATATTTGCACTGAAATTAACATATGTTGCTTTCACTTTATGTACTATATTTTAGAAGCATTTAATTTGAGATAGAGTTAATACATAATTACCCTATTAAACATACTTTTATTTTGTTACATACACTCTGTAATCTTACTGATAAGTTGGGTCATTGTTGATTTTTACCTTAACCAGCAAATTCTTATACTCGTATAGAAGTCAGTTGTAGTAATCAATATGTAATAGGGAAAGAGCTTGAAAATGAGTCTATAAAAAATTGATTTTGTTTCTCTTTAGATGTGTTCTACCCAAAGTGTCTTGTTTTGACCAGGAAAAGAAAAAATACTGTTACCATTTCTTATTTTAACTATGTTGTGTTGTTCTCTCATGTAGTGATAATGCTTTTTGAAGGAGGAATAAATGTAGAAAGACGACCCAGGAGCACGTACAAAAAGTTTCTCAGACTCTGATGCAGTCTGCTTAGTGCTCTTCCTCTGCTAAATTAACTGACCAACCTGGGCCTGAGGACAGTATTTTCCTCTGAGCAAAGTTAGAGAGTTTACAGGATACTAATCTTACTTCTTTGTCTTGTTCCAACCAGCAGAGATAGCTAGTCTGAATTTGCTCGCACAGTGTGATTCTCTTTGCAGTAATGGGTATTGTTGCTAGTAAGATACATAATCAAAATAGTTGAAGATTTATTTTGAAATATTTTTCTTCCTTGTTATTTACTTTTAAAGAACATCTTACATTTAGTAATTCCTTTTTGTTTAATTCTTTTCCCATCCACCTCTGCTTTGAGTGGTGGTTTTCAAATTAAACCATTTAAAAGCTAGAATCTGCTAGAAAATATTCTCCAGTATGTAAATGCTAGGTAGAAATTAGTATGTATTAGAATTGTCATGTGAATAACTGTTCACTAATCAAATAGGTGCCTGTGTTCCTAGCAATTAGCAAGTGCCTTGAAGAAACTAATGAGAAAAAAATTATTTTTCTTATATATGACAGATCCGTACTAACATACTTGTAAATTAACAAGTATGTTAATTTACACATTAACATACTTGTTTATACAATCAGGAAGTGAAGTAGTACAGTTTTTTAAAAACCATAATTGGTGAAATTTCTATTCATATTAAATAATCTATGACAACCAGTTCATAAGTTGAATTTCCACTTAGCAAGATGTTGAAGTGAGTTTAGGCCAGGCGTCGTGGCTCACACCTGTAATCCCAGCACTTTGGGAGGCCGGGCAGATCGCCTGAGGCCAGGGGTTCAAGACCAACCTGGCCAACATGGTGAAACCCAGTCTTTACTAAAAATACAAAAATTAGCTTGGCATGTTGACGGGCACCTATAATCCTAGCTACTCGGGAGGCTGACGCAGGAGAATAGCTTGAACCCAGGAGGCAGAGGTTGCAGTGAGCCAAGTTTAGTTGAACTAGCTAAGAGGCAAACGGCAATAAAATGTGTTCAGTGACCCTCTTAATATATTCTGAAGTGAAATACATCTCTGTACATTTGTCAGTAACAGTGAAGCAGCTTTTTGCTAAATAGGTCACTAGGTTTTTTAAAGCAGAAGATTATGCCATTTGTTTTGATTGGATGAACCAAATGTTTCACTAAACCACATAATGTGGAAAAAAACGCAAGTATTTTTCTATAGTTTAAATGTAGACATCTTGAAAATGAATAAGTAAATAATCTAATAAATCATAAAGACCTTTTAAATGGTTTTCATTGTTTTATGAGAAACTGATTTGTAACTTTGAATGTAAGTTATAAAATAATGTTACTTAAATATGACCACTTTACATGAATGTTTTTATCTGATTTGCAGAAATTCAAGGTTATTTCAGTATTATTCTTTAGAGTGAAAGAAATGTAATCATTCCATCATTAACAGTGTTTTCACAGGGTACTACTGTGTAAATGCAGAAGGGGTGAGCCCTTTGGTATGGGAGAATTAATTGAAATTCTTGTAATGAGACTAAGAAGACAGCTTCTTCACCTAACTCAGTTATTCACAGCTAACTTAGTGGTCTGAGGTCACATGTTTTACTAAACACCTATCTAGCCATAGGATAGCTATTTTTAAAAAATACAGTAAGCCAAGACCTAAAGATAAGAAGTCACTTCTTTTGACCAGAGAAGTGGACAAACGTTAAAGTAGAGATAATTACCTCTAGAGCTTTCTGGTCACCATCACAACTGATTGAGGCTAAAAGTAAATTAGAAGGACCAGAGAAACTGAGAAAGAAAGGAGGGAAAGAGAGAAAATAGAAACAGGTGATTGTGCTGGACAGTTGGAGTACTACTATTGTTTTATGTACCACATTGGAAGTCAGTGTCATGGGATGCCGTTTCCTTTTATTGTATGTTTTTTCTTTTTAATTTCTTAATCTAATTGAACAAATACACAAGTATCTGCAATTGTATTGTTGTAATGGTTAAAATAAAAATACATGGTTTTTATTCATTTATTGTCAAATACCAAAATCTTACTTAGAACATTAATATGCTGCACAAACATTGCTATGTCTCACTTTATGGGTGGCCTTTAAAAAAAGCAATAAGACCATTCACAAGTAAGTTGTTTCACTAATTGTTAAGAAATATTTTTTTTTATGGAATTCCTACAGATTAAAACATCTGCTCACTAAGCATTTCTGGTGAAATACCTTTATATGATCATATATAGTCATTACATTCCAGCATGTCTTTTTACTCTGTATTTATTTGTGTCGTTTTGTCCTCTCCCCAATTATTAGAATTTAAAAATATTGAAAGCAAGAATTGTGGCCGGGTGCGGTGGCTCACGCCTGTAATCCCAGCACTTTGGGAGGCCGAGGCGGGCGAATCACAAGGTCAGGAGATTGAGACCATCCTGGCTAACATGGTGAAACCCCGTCTCTACTAAAAATACAAAAGATTAGCCGGGCGTGGTAGTGGACGCCTGTAGTCCCAGCTACTCGGGAGGCTGAGGCAGGAGAATGGCGTGAGCCCGGGAGGCAGAGCTTGCAGTGAGCCGAGACCGCACCACTGCACGTCAGCCTGGGCGACAGTGAGACTCCGTAAAAAAAAAAAAAAGCAAGAATTGTTAGATTTCCACAGTGCCTAGCCCACAGAGTTAGTGCTTAGTAATTAAGTGTGTCGATTTAATTAGATTTTATTACTGTCTTCTAGACATCAACTAGTCAGGCAGTCTTCCGTCTCCAGTCTGGCATCTGCCATCTCTTCCGAGAAACTTTAATTAACAAAGGTTTTGTGGAAATCCAAACTCCTAAAATTATTTCAGGTAAGCTGCAAAATATTTCTCTTAATTTTTAAAAATAAATTTGCTAGCCTCAGAGTTGCTTTATATTAATAAAATTTTTAACTTGAGAATCTGGGTGTCCATTAAGGTTTATTGCCA